AAAAAATAACCAAAAAACCTTAAACAACACAAAGTAATTTAAAAAAAGTAAAAAAACCTATATTGTGACAGTTTTTTCTATGTCTCTTAATAAACCGATTTTGTTGACTTTCTAATAAATTTCATAATAATTTGACATGGTTTTATTACAAATAGAAGAAAAATTGTTTAATTTTTAATTCTTGTTACACTGGTGCCATGTTTTAATTTTTTTTTCAAAAATGTATGATTTTACTTAAATGTTCCTAGAGGCGTTTATATAATTTAAATTTTACTCTACATGGTGTTTACTTTTTCTTCCAAATTTTGTAATAAATAAACAAATAAGTTATTGTTTATTTCACTCACTAGAAAGATAATTAATAATAAAAAACTAAACAAAAATCGGTTGAAATTACACAATTTGGTACTTTTAGTGAACATCCTGTATAGTGAAATGAAGTGGAAACCACACCAAACAAAGTTTTGTTTACAAAACTTCAAAATTTTCTTATTTAATAATAAAAATTTATAAAAATTTAAATTAAAATTATTTAATAATAAAACTTTAGAAATAGTGAATTTGAAGCATGAATTTTTCAAACACTTGAATTATTTGGCAACACTGTAAACAAAATCAAAAATGGTTTGTTTTTATGTTATTTGACAAGACTAACGAAAAAAGTGTGAGTTACTATTAAAAAACATTGATTACGATGCTTGAATTATGGAACACTCTGTATATTTAAAACGAATTTTAATGAATCTAGGAAAATAATAATTTTGTAATTTAGAAATGTTGTTCAATTAAAAGGTTTGATATTCTAAGACTCATTGCAAATTATTACTAAATCGGTCAAAAAATAACCAAAATTGGCTAAACAACATAAAGGAAGGTAAAAAACGTAAAAAAAAACTATTATGTGGCAGTTTTGTTGATTTTTCGATGTTTCGTAATAATTTGAAACGGGTTTTACCACAAATACAATAAAAATGAAATGAAAACTAAATCAAATAAAGTCTTGTCTACGAAATTTCAAAGTTTCACGTTTTTATTTAATAATGAACTTGCAAAAAAAATTTTTCTAAGAAACTGAATTTTGCTACACTCTGTATATTTGGTATGAATTTTAGCGAATGAAATAATAAGAAATAATAATTTTGTGATTCCAATAATAAAGTGAATTTCCAAAGTCGATAAAAAGATTCCAATTACAATATTTAATATTCTAAAGCCCCTCTCAAATAATTGTCAAATTAGTCAAAAAATACCAAAACCAGTCCTAGGATGATAATAATAAGATAAACAAAAAGTGAAGACAAACATCATGTTTTGACAGTTTAATTAACTAGCGACCAATTTGATTTGCTAACAATTTGAGCGGGGTTTTACACTCAATGGTACAAAAATTTGTATGAGAAACCAAGATCTCTACAACTTTTGTGCAAAACTATCGATTTGGTGATAACTAATGATCCCTCAGCGTGAATTTGTCGGTAAATCCCCCCATCTTACCTTCTCATATACTGATCCCTAATGACGACCCAAATAACGAGCACGTTCGCCAACAAAGCGACAACAAACACCGGCACATAAAGTCCAATCACTACAAAATTATCCTCTCTGAATTTTCGAAGCACATTTTCGATTATTTCAGTCTCATTGGATAGATTCATGATTTTTTTTTCACTTTCGAGGATTACATTATGGTCTCACAAGTCCGCAAACCTGAAACAGATGAAGATTTCACGTTATTATATTAGTCTCAATGTCAATCGAGATGTTTCAGTGATAGAATTTCAGCAGCAATTCGATTTTTCAGCGCTCGATTGAAGCGCCTTTTGAAGGCATTCGTGCGTGGGTTTTCACGAGTTGTGTATTTGAATGGGTTTGAAATTTTTTTTCTAGTTATACTTTTATAAAGCGGAACTGATTTGTGATATTCGCAGGGAATCGTTCGAAAAAAACGTAATAAAAAATTCCCCAGTGTGATGATACGTTTCTCGATGACAAAATAATAACAAACTTGATGTTTCGTTTCGTTTTGTTTGATATCTTCCTAATTAAGAAAAAATTACTTTGGGAAGGAAATATTGCATTTGACAGGCTTCTACGACATATTAAATTTCGTATACAAATAAATCATTTACAAGTTTCGAATTTAATTAAAACGAGTCGCGAGATTATTTCTCAACTAATTAACATACAGGGTGATTTAAACGGATTTAAGTTGAGTTTCATCCCAATCCGTGTTAGACAGTTGGTGATAAATTATTTTCAAATCCCACTTTTCTACGAATTGTCTGCACTTTCGCCACTTTTTGTTGTCCTATCACATATCGGGTTAAGGGCGATATTTTATCACTTTTGCCACCGACAGAAAGCATCGCAAAGGCTGCGATAAATTGGTCGATAAACCGAAATTTTTCCCAACGTAAAACTCCGTTCAAATTATTATAATCGAGCGAAATAAACATCAATGAAATTTGATTAAACTGTCAAAAAATTTTGGTTTTGGTGTTTTTTGACCGGTATGATTATTATTTGAAAGGGGCTTTAGAATGTCAAATATTTTAATTACTGACTTTATTATTGAAATTACAAAAGTATTGTTTTTAATCAAATAATCAACACTATGCCAAATAATAGTTTTTGATTTTGCTTGAGGCGTCCCAAATAATTTAATTTTCTATGAAAAATTTTTTAAAGTTTTGATATTAAATAAAAAGTTGAAACTTTGAAGTTTTGTAAACA